CGGTTACACCATTTTTTTTTTTATCTTCGATTTTGTCAGCAAATGGTGTCCCTGTGGTATTTGAAGGCACTATAAATACATCTCACAAAGCCACATTAGAAACGAACACAAACACCATGACGCACTGAAGAGCTCATTCACAGTCCCGTTGACTGCTCTAGAGCCTTATATAGCCTACATATTGAAGGCAATAATTTTTTCGGTGACCACCTCTGCGCTTATTAAGGTTACAAGTATTCAATCTTCTCCTCGGGAGTCTGTCAAGGGGGAAACAGTGTTCTGAAGTTCGTGGACGATATCTCTTACTAAAAGGCATTGGTACAACTAATAACAATTCGGCACAGTCCCTAAAACAATATCCACACAAACGGCTCATAAAATACATGTTATTGCTTCTCTGCGTAGCAGCACTCAGGGCGAAGCGAATCAAGGCAGTTTCTTCACTTTAAAATACTGTAAACGACTTTATTTTCGTGAGAACCTAATTCTCGCAAAGTTGGCGAATCGCCTACAATTCCGAAAAATAGGTCCCGTGAACAATTCCGGCAAAATGTAAAAACATTAAAATCTATATTGCGATCCCAGCGCGTCGCGAAAATTAGAATTTGCGAATTATTCCAAAACTCCAACTTTGACCTAAATCGCGAAATACTGAGCCCGCGAAAAATAAATATTTTACAGTAGCTGTTTTGCCTTTCCTTTTTAGTAGTTGACTATTTAATATGGTAGTTAATGTCACTGTATTAAAGTCACTATTCACATCACGTACAATGGTGAGTATACACGTTCAGTGAACTAACATTGTGTTAACAAAACCACGCCAAACGTATCTGTTCACAGCACCTGCTGAAGCTTTCCAGCATCAGCAAATGTTGTGGTTGTAGTTCCCGAACCCCGTTTGTGATTGGTGTGCAAGGAACTGATCAGGTGTGTTCTTGATAGAAAAAAGGAAACAATAACATAAACTGGGCTGATTTATCAGTGCGATGCTGCGCAATTCAATTGCCAAACTAATCAAATGTATTTAGGCGCTTCAGTGTACTCCATATCTGCTTGAAGTGAACTTCAGAAGGGGAGCTTTTAAATATTTTGGTAGTTTAAGTCAAACTACCAAAGTATTGCAGTCAAAAGGTACTTAGAGTATAACACAACAGTATTTACGATTTTCAGGTATATTAAGAGTATTCTGCACGTATTCTTGATTGCTCCATTTTTTTAGGGTTGGAGTATATTTTGCATGAATTAAATAAATATTTCAAGAAATATATGTGAAAGGTATTTTGTGCCTATTAATTTAGTATTTACATATTTCAAAACGCATGAAGGGAACTTCAAATGTAGTTTAAGTAAAGGTATTTTAAAATGACTTTTAGAAGTATATTTTAGTACTAAGTAACAAAAAAAGAAGTTTATATTTTCGGTATATTTTTCGTGTACTTACAATTATGAATTGTGTTTCAAATACACTCAAATTAGAATGTGGTATATTTCAAACGTATTAGTTTTCGCTAAGGGATGTACCTCGTAAAAATGGTATGTGTCCTGGCATGGCTTGCAACAGAACATTTACTGCTGTGTGCCATGATGGTACATTTCCTGTAGCATACAGTACTTGTTCCGTAATGATGATGTATGGAACTTGTGGCTGCCCACACAGCAACAACATGTCCCATGCTAAAGAAGTATGGAACATGTTCAGTAGTCCGGTAATACAGTACATGTTGTGGCAACAAGGTTAGCATGTATGTGTCCCATACTTTGACAGGAGTTTTTCTAACAGTGTACCTCGTTGATATACACGAACTCAACTCTCTGACGTCACGACGTCAGAGGGTTGAGTTCGTGTGGTAACGCGTCGGTCGCATTTCCGGTCTGGGGCTGTGGGTAGAAGTCCCTATGGCAGACGTGTATTCCTGCGTTGTTTTGAAAGGAACCAGACAAAAACCTGCCTTTTCGTCAAAACACCGCGACTGGGACCGTACCAAAAGTGTCGAGAAAGGTTTGAAGGTCAGTTGTCACGTGCTCGGTTCGTCCGAGAATCCGGATATGTGCCGTGAAAAGGGAAAAGCAGACGCCGTCGGACAACAATTGCTTGGGCGGGAAGCACTTTGGGTTGAATTAGGGGATACTTCTGGTCATCGGATTTATTTGTTTTGTTCCAACATGAACGCCAGAAAACCGTCAAGTTGTGCGGACCATCTGCGGACTACCGTTCAGTGCGTCTTCTAATTCAAACGGCGGCCTGATCATTCGAACTGTCGTATGCTCTTTCAAACGCTTCTGCTTGTCGTCTGCTCTCTTAAACGACGCCGGCCCGTAGACCAAAGGTTGGCCCGGTACTTGCGATAAGAAGTAAGTGCAGGCCTCAAAAGACTTAAGTTTGAAGGTTGCAGGCTCGATGTAAACATTAGATACAAGGAGATGTTGATCATTTTTACCAGTGGCCATCACCGACTTCTTATCCCTTATTCACTTCTTCCGATTCTGCTTCCGATTTACAGTATCGACGTCGACCATCTCAGCTACGGTTCAGGCTTTCGCAGCTCGAGCGGCGTCGCGTCTGAAAATTGCGAGCGAAATCGCATCATGCGAATCAGGCTTTAGCGTACGTGCTGCGGCGTCCACGCGGAATGAGTCGCCACATGTCACATTATTCACGCGAAGTTTTGTGGTGTAACGAGCTTCGGTAATTTTGCTGACGCCGCTCATGTAGTCACACATCGCCAAGAAGACGTAGAGTCAACAATTCGAACGTGAAAAAGGGCAGGGGGACTCACACCGGCGCCGACAACATCGCATTCCAATGGTTTGTTTATGGGCGACGGCGAGCTTCTTGCCCACAGCCCCATCGCGCATGCGCGGCGCCGGTGGCGTCCGCTAGGGGCGCTCCGGTTTGTTTGTAAACATGAGTTGGTGTATAAGCTTGACATGTGCGGGTGAGCTCTTTGGTTCTTGACCGTTACAGATTTAAAGACGACACAAAACACGGCGCAATGGAGAGCCGTATGTAAGAACTGTTTGCATATCAAAAGTATGGAGAAAAAATCTATAATGTTAGTCCGTTGCGAAAAATAAAGATCTAATAACAATAAATCTTAAACCGTTCATGAAAAATTTTATATTTTTGTTATTTTCATGCTCGACCAGTGTTATGCGCAGTCCGACAAGCTTGAATCAGATAGAAAAACAAATTATTGGGATTCTATTATTATGTATTCAATAATAAATGGAAATGATCCTCGCGCAAAGCATTTTTTTATATATTCTAGTGAAGCACATCCGCCCAACACTTCACTTCCGCTAGTTGCAGTACGGGAGCGACGGGAGCAGACGCCTTCACTTTTAGGGCGTTTTGATGCAGTTTGTTGTCGTATGTCGTGTCGATGTCGAGTGGAGTGGCGGGGCTTGGGAGTTTGTGACTGGTGTTATTGGTGATCACTGATGTGGCGCTGATGCGCCTTTTGTTTACACCGCCACCACCCCGAACTTTGAAGATTCACGGGCCCGTAGCACTGCATTATGCTGAATCGCGAGCTACTCTGTTGACGTCGTTTTCCTGGTACCACCCGTGGATACTGCAAGCGTTTAAACAGTGTGCACCGTCTTGCCTACATCCCCGGTGACGTACTCGACCTGTTGAAACTTATTGCTTCCGTCATTTTGGAGTACGCTAGGCAGTTATCTCGTTTCTCTGGTTTCGGTTATAAAAGCCAGGCAAAACGCTCGTTGTTCCCGCCCTCAGTACACGTTGGACATCTTCCACACTTTGGCACCGTATAACTGAATGAACTGGGATTTACACTTACATCAGAGGTCACTCCGGCCGCTTCCTCACCGTTGAGCAGCAGGATCAGCTGGCGACAAGCCGCGGATGAAAGGCCTCAGCATGAACAGCCCAAGTGCTCTGGGTGCCGATGCGGGCGATGCGGGTAGGCCAGCACAAACCGTGACCATTCCGGCTCTTCGTTATGACACGGTGTTGCAGAAAGCAGTGTAAAATACAACTCTACGGACCACCGAAGCCAACGCACTGTTATCGTAAATCTTGGCTTATGATTGCGCCTTTCTAGATTTTCTTACTTGTTTTGCTGGAGACGCAAACGACGGGCATAACAAGATCGCTTGCATAATCCGCATACCTCGCAAAAGCATTTACCCAGTCACCTTGCGCAAAGCGCGAAACACGGAGTCGAGTTTGCACCGTCCTGACTTCCCCTGCCTTTTACCTGCTTTAGTGCAGTTTGTACCTGCTAGTATGCCTACTGAAACTGAAACTTGAGAAACTAGGGGCAGTGCCAGAGAGAAAAGAGACAAAGTTGGGAAAGATTGCTCGCTCTCTCCAATTTTTCAACTCTCAAGTGATTGTACCATAATAAATGCACCAACGCCATGTCCATAATTTATGGGATGTTTTCAAGAAAATGTTGCTTCAATTAACGGATAAATATGTTCCCTGCATAGATTCTAGAAAGCTAAAAAAACGAAGAAAACCATGGGTAACTTCAAGTACTCTTAGGATAATTAAAAAGCGAAGGAGAGCATTTGATAGATATAAGAAGACCAAAAGTAGTAATCACCTTGAAAAACTGGCTGAGCTTACGCGTGAATATAAAAGGAGCATAAAGGGTGCTAAGGAACAATATCTTAATACACTCAATGACAGATTAAAAACCAACCCAAGCTTTTCTGGAAGTATTTAAAGGGATGTGGATCGGATGTAGTAGGAATAAGTGAAATTACATATAATCAACAGACAGTTTCGGATGATACAGAAAAAGCAACGTGCTTCAATAATTACTTTCGGTCTGTCTTTTTGCCCAAATGTATGTATGTATGAAAAACTTTATTAAAGGTATATCATGAGGGAGGTAGTTTGAGGTGGCCCGGAGGGGGCCATCTCTCACAAGCACTAGGTGGACTCCTCAGTACAGGAGCCCATTGGCGACTGCCGCGGTTCGGGCTCGGTCAACCAGGGCCTTCTGGCCCTCCAGGTCGGAGCAGTCGAGCAGGGCTGCCTCCCAGTCCTCCCGGGTGGGGTTGGGTTTTGGGACGAGGTTCGGGGTTGATTGGCATGCCCACACCATGTGGAAGATGTCCGAAGACTTCTCCGCACAGTGCGGGCATTTTCCTGTATAAGCAGGATCAAAGTGTTTTAAAACTGCCGGGCACAGCAGGGTTTTGGTGTAGAGACGGAGGAGTGTGCGTTCCTCCGCCTTTGTAAGGCCCTTACAGGGCTTAGGATAAATTGCGTGGCCGAATTGGTATAATTGAGTAATTTCTCGAAAAGTGAGGGCTGGATTGGGTTCGGGATCCATTTCGGAAGGGTCTGAACGCGTTGCCCGGAGAGTGAGCGAGCGGGCGGCGGCGTCTGCCGTTTCGTTGCCTTCGAGGCCCATGTGAGCAGGAGCCCAGACGATCGTTCGAGACGCGGGGGCCCCGAGGTAGTCACTATCTTTAAGGATGCGATACGCAAAGAGAGGAATGTACCCCTGTTCAATATTTCTGCAGGCCCCTCTCGAGTCGGTGATGATGACTCTCGAGTCCTGGTCTGCGGCGGCTAGAGCGATGGCGATCTCCTCCGCATGTGTTATGTCTTTAGCTCTGAACGTAAGGCCGTTCACCAGGACGTTTTGGTGGACGACTGCAGCCGTGTACCTCCCCCCATGGTGAGGGCCGGAGGCGTCCACATAGAAGATTCCGGGTTTGGACCCATAGTGGCGGGCCAGTGCCTCCGCCCGCGCAAGGCGCCTGCCACTGTGGTCGTCACGTGTCATGTTGGCTGGAAGAGGGCGCACGTGCAGGGCGCATCTCCAGACTTCGGGGATGCGTACGCGCTCTTCTGTCAGTGTTAGGTGATGGATGTGTAGTCAAGCTAATAGGTGGCGTCCCGACGACGTCTTTGAAAGTCTTGTATATTGATTGGTCAAGTGTGCCTCCTGGAGCTCCGCGAAAGTGTTTACCATCCCCAGGCCCATGAGGCGCTGGTTGGACGTGTTCATCGGGAGATCGAGGGCACGCTTGTACATCTTTCTAAGAAGCACCTCAAGGGCGGTCTCGTCAAACTTGCGCAGGTGGAGGTAAGGAGTCGAGTAGAGGACTCGACTGGTCACGAACGCGTGCGCCAGCCGCAAGGCGTCTTTGCACCGTAACCCCCCGCGTTTGTTGGAAACACGGCGGACCATTCGGCCCACCTGGTCCCCCACCTTGCGCAGTTTAGCCAGTGTTGTATCAACCCGCCGATGTTTGTGGATAAAGAGACCAAGCACTCTAATCTCATCGTGTTCGGGTATCGGGCCGCTGGCCAGGGATAATTCCATTTTGGTGGTGCACTTAGGCGACGGGCGAATGTGCACAAATTCGGATTTGGACGTGGAACATTGAAGGCCGCAGCGGCGGGCGTAGGCGTCCACGATCTCCGCCGCTTGCTGCAGGTTGGCCTCAATGTCTCCCACCGACCCGTGTTTGGCCCAAATGGTTATGTCGTCGGCGTACAACGCATGCTGGACGCCTTCGACTTTCGCCAGTTGAGCCGGAAGTTTCATCATGGCCAGATTGAAAAGTAACGGCGAGAGGACCGCGCCCTGTGGTGTTCCTCTCGTTCCCAGTTGATAGGGGCCGTGTTCTTCGTCTTCTATTCGGATAAAAGATTGTCGATCCGAGAGAAATTGCTTGATATACTGAAAGGTGTTAGGTCCACAGTTGGTCTGGGAAAGATGGTGTAGGATAATTTCGTGTGTGACGTTGTCGAAAGCCCCCTGCAAGTCTAGGGCGAGTACTGCCTTATCGTTGAGGGGGCATTCGACAGGGTTGAGAATTTCTCGGTCGAGCTGAAGCAGAACATCCTGCGCGGACCGGTGCTGGCGGAAACCGAACATGGTGTCTGCGAATACATTTTGGTTTTCCAGAAACCCAGACAGCCTGTCCCGCACCATGGTCTCCATCAGCTTTCCCGCACAAGACGTCAGGGAGATGGGGCGGAGGTTGTCTGTGTTTATGGCTTTGCCGGCTTTCGGAATGAAGGTTACCAGGGCGGTCTTCCATTCGAGTGGGATGGGTGTCTCACCAAGCCAAATAGAGTTGATGAAAACGAGGAGGGTTGCATAGGCGGGGTCGGGAAGATTGGCAAGCAGTTTCACAGTTATCATGTCCCGGCCCGGTGCCGTTCCTCGTTTCATTTTAGCTAGGGCCGCCTTCAGGTCGTGCAGCTGGAACGGCTGATCCAGCTCCGCGTTCTCTGAACCCGCATACGAGTACGCAGGCCCTCGGGGGTCCTGTTGGGTGCAAAGGTATTGGTCGCGTAGTGTGCAAGCTAATTTTGAGGTATCTCCATCGAAGCTATGAATAGCTCGTTGGAGATGTTTTTGTGTTTCGGCGCGGGTTTGAGTCGGGTCAATTAGGGCGCGGAAGAGGCGCCACGGGCTCCGGCTAGACATTTGTCTGGCCGCCGTGTTACAGCGGTCCACCCAGTTCGAGTCGGCGAGTTGGACCGCGTACTCTGCCGGTCGCTGGGTGAGCTCGGCGATACGAATTTTGAGCTTTCTATTATGTTTTTGGCGGCGCCATCTGCGGACGAGGCTGTGCCGCGCCTCCCAGAGGCGCAGAAGGTGGTTGTCCACCTCCGGCGTTGCCTCCGAGAGTTGAATATGGGTTTCCGTCGAACGGAGGTGTGTAACCAATCCTTGTGCCCACGCGTGGTATCCTTGTTCGTTGATGGAGGCCGAATTGATGTAGCTTTGCCGGAACTTATTCCAGTCGGGGAGTCGAGCTTGTGCGTGGGGTCTTGCCAATGGTTTAGTCCTTATGGTGATATTGATAAGGCAGTGGTCACTACCAAGGGTTTCCTCGGTGTTGGCCCACTCTGCGTGTCTAATGTTTTTCGTAAAGGTAAGATCCGGACACGTATCCCGGGTCACAGAGTTACCCACTCGCGTTGGATACGCAGGGTCGGTGTGGAGAGTCAGGCCCAGGGTGGACGCAAGTTCCGCTAGCTTGCGTCCCCGCTTCTCCTCACGAACGTACCCCCAGAGCGTACTAGGGGCGTTGAAATCGCCCACAATCACGAGGGAGTCCCTGCCCGCAGCCTTTAGAGCGCGGCTAAAGAGTGCTGCGAACGTTACATTTTTTAGTCTGGGGGAACAGTAGATATTGAGTATGTGGAGGGGTGCATCTTGTTTCTTGAGCGCAAGGAGTGTCACCATTACATACGAATATTCAGTTTGAAGTTCCAAGTCGACTAGATTTGCCGTATAATTTTTATGCACACAGACGCAGGAAGAGGGGTCCTGCTGGAAGGTGATGTAGTTTGTAAGAGTGGCGCCGCTCCCTGGCTCCTGGAGAGCAACCACCGCAGGAAGCGAGTCGAGAGTTGAAAGGAAAAGTCGGAGATTCGCCCGCTTTGCGCGGGAGCGGAAGCCCCGGCAATTCCACTGGACAATTTTGACGGGGGTGGCCGAATTGGTTCTTGGGGAGCGCCTGATCTTAGGGCTGCTCGCCATGGTGAGTTAGGCTAAGGAGGGATGGTAGTGACGCTGCTCCGGAGCCAGCACTCGCGGGGAGGGGGGCGTCCTCCAAACCGGAGAGCGAGCAGCTGTCGTCATCGTCTACATCTGGGGCGCGTCTAGGTTTGAGAGGGCGGCCGGATACGTCCCTGTAGGGACCGCCGGGCCTGCGCGAGGGGCGCAGGGAGTGCGCAATTTGTTGGGCAATCATCGCGGGGATTGTCTCTTGCAATTTGGAGATGGTGTTGACCATCATTGGGATTCGGTTTTCAAAGGCGGTGAATCGGGCGTCAATCGCCGCGAAGCGGGCCTCGAAACGGGCCTCAAATGCGGCCGCCGCACTTGACGCCGCTTTCGGCGCCACGAGCTCACTCTCCATTTCCTCAGCCGCGGGGGGGGAGGGGGGAGGAGGACGCTGGTTCATTTTGGATTCCAATTCGTTAATTTTCTTCAGCAGCTTCTCGTTTTGGGCCCTGAGGGCTGCTATTTGATCTTGCTCGGCGCTGCGCGCCCTTGGGGGGGGGGGGGAGTGAGAAGTGGGGAGGAGGAGCCAGCCCTACCCGAACCGCTCACCTGATTTCCGTTTTTGACGGCGTCGACCCAGGACCCGGTCTTGCCACGCTTCTCCGCCGCTCATTTCTCCAGGCCGCCGTGTGGTGGCGACTCCGTCGACGGTCGCTTTCCAGCACCTCCGGTAGGTGGCGCTGGCTTCGTGGTGTTAGAGGTTTCTCGGCGAGACTGGTCGCCGGGAGGCCCAAGATGGCGGCTTTTCTTCTTGGGCGCCATATTCTTTTTTCCTCCCGTCTGGGCGGCCATCTTGGGTGTGCGGAATTTCGCCGCACAGTCGCGAGAGTTGGTGGCATGGGCGCCACCGCACACAGAACACCGGGGAACACAGTTATGAGGGGCCCGCACCCCCTCCACTAGCGGAGCTTGGAGTCCGCAGAGTCCACACGTGTTCGGCTGCAGGTTTGGGCATGCATCCGCGCGATGCCCGACGGCCCCACACTGGCCGCAGGCCGGGATAGTTTTGTAATAGTTTTGCACAGAGACGACCATGTTGTCATAATGCACGTAACGGGGCTTCTCTCTACCCGCGATTGTGATGCGTGCCTTGTTGGATGTGCCGAATTTTCGGATTTCCACAATGGTACCGGCGCGCCAGCACACTCGGTGTTGAAGGGTTTCGGTGGTGTCCGTGTTACGGACCACGATCACTCCGTGGCATGTGTTGCCGCCGTCCTGTCTCAAATAACCCTGAAGCGGGATTGAGTCCTTCTCAGTGTTGACTGCAAAATCCCCGATGAGCCGGTCGGCCGCCTCGATGTCCGGGGTATGCACGATGATGATGTTTTGGTCTCGCGAGGGCAGAACGGAGATGGCGCGGGCCCGTTCCGGTCCGAGGTACGCCGAGATGGCGGTTCCGTAGCCGGTTTCCGTGAGCACCTCGTGAAGAGAAACACGTTCTCGGGGTTTGAGGACTATAACGTAGTCTTCGGGATCGGGTTTGGGCATTGGGCGCGGCTTCCACTTCGTGAACGCCTTGCCCTTGCTTCCCGTGGCGCGTGTCGCGGGAGCATTCATTTTTCCGACCGACGAGCCGGGGGCCATGGTGTCGCCGGGCGTCGCCATCTCGGCTTTGTCCTGTAAGCGGCGTGCAGCCGCTTGAAGTAAAGCTTGACTCCGAATTTCCGGAAAAACCGTCGGGCTTGCGTCATCGGTGGTGGGAACCGAAGCCCACGCCATCGCCTCAGGGTCGTAGCCGCGTAATGGGAGCGCGGGAGTCGACATTTTTTCCTCGGAGGGCCGACTCTACCCGCCTCTCGGCGGGCGTGCTGCGGCGGGCCGACGGAGCGGGGCGATGTTTATACTACGATCACGTACAGTTCTCCGGGGTTTGCGGAGCCCGGAGAAGACGTCCGTTCTCGTCGGAGGTTCGCAGCCCTTGCCCAAACACAACTGTGTTAATCCATCCACTGTTAGTACGGTGGAATTAATGCAGCCAGTTGAGCTTGGCATGAGTGGTATTGAGAAGGCGTTAAAGAACATAGATGAAACAAAAGCAACTGGACCGGATGGCATTTCTCCGCGTGTACTAAAGCGATGTGCTTACCCAATTTCGGTTTACCTTTATTTAATTTTTTCCAATTCACTGGACACAGGACTTTTGCCAGATGACTGGAAGGTAGCTCATGTCGTCCCTATCCATAAGGGGGGGCCAAAAAAAGACGTCGTAAATTATAGGCCCATTTCATTAACTTCCGTCTCATGCAAAGTCATCGAACATATTTTATATTCAGAGGTAATCGGTCATATGATAAGAAACAACTTGCTGATTAATGAACAACATGGTTTTCGTAAGGGGTTTTCATGTACTACGCAACTTGTTGAATTTTATCATGACCTTGCATCTGATGTCGATGAGGGAGGGCAAATAGATTGTATATTCTTGGATTTTAGAAAAGCGTTTGACACGGTCTCACACTCACTTCTTCTCAACAAACTAAGAATGTTAAATCTAGACTGGGCTGTGCTTAGATGGATAGAAAATTACTTGTTCCAGCGTCGTCAATGTGTAGTACTGAATGGCAAGAAATCTGATTACGTTGATGTAACATCAGGAGTTCCACAGGGCTCTGTCCTGGGTCCACTTTTGTTTTTAATTTATATTAATGATATTTCTGTTGGAATTTCCTCTTGTATTCGACTTTTTGCTGATGATTGTGTAGTGTATAGAAAGATTAAGAGTTCAGATGATGTCGCCCAGTTGCTAGCAGACCTTGATCGTATTCAAAGTTGGTGCTCTACGTGGAAAATGAATTTAAATCACAAAAAGTGTGTTAACCTTTGTTTTACAAAGAAAAAGAAACAAATTGAATCTCAGTATTTTATAAATAATAACCCTATAACCAAGGAACTTACTTACAAATACTTGGGTGTCATATTGTCATCTGACTGTTCATGGAGTGCCCACATAGAGGAAGTAGTCTTAAAAGCTGGCAGGGCAATGAATTTTATCCAACGTAACTTAAAATGCTCACAACCTAACTTAAAGACAACTGCTTATTTAACATGTGTTAGACCCATTTTAGAGTATGCATGTGCTGTCTGGGATCCAGCCCAAAAAACGTTGATAGATAAGCTGGAGAAAATACAAAACAGGGCGGCTAGGTTTGTTCTTGGACGATACGGGAGGAAAGAAAGTTGTACAGAAATGAAAAAAATGTTAAACTGGGAACCACTTTCCGTACGTCGGGAAAAACTGCGACTAAAACTTTTATACTCAATAGTTAAAAATAAAACGGGAATAAATAGCGAGACTTACTTAAAAGAACCCTATTATGTTTCTAGTCGTAATGATCATAGTCTTAAAATTAGAGAGTACCGCGCTAGGACATGCAAGTTTGCAAACTCCTTTTTTGTACGAACAATTGCACAATGGAATCGGCTGTCTGAAGAGCAAGTGTGCTGTTTCAATGAAGACGTGTTCTTTTCATCCTTGTAACCCCCCCTGCTGTAACGCCCTCGGGCACTGCGGGGTAATCATTGAATAAAGAATAAAGAATAAAGAACGCCTCTTCCCAAAATAAAGAAAAAGCGCTATGTTCACTGCGTAAAAAATGGTATCAGTTTAGGCATTTGTGGGCAGGTAGGAAATCTTGGCCTAATTTATTCACACCGCGTGATGTGCGAAACAAACTCACACGAGATTTACAGCAAAATATCGGTGGTGACTAAAGTTTCCCTGAAATTTTGTATAACCGGTCGTTTCCACTACCGAATTATCTATTCCAGCGGTGTGCGTCGCTGTGCAAAAACGTCGCTGTGCAAACGCCGTATAACACGAAGCATAAAAACGACAGATTTAGTACAAGAATCCGGAGTCCCTTGTTCGATTAAAACGACGTAAAATTCTTTAAAACACCCGCAGCTTTTTACTCACGCTATCTGTCGAGATATTTCCACATTTTAAAACGGAACGAAGGAAGATTTACTTCTAAAAACACTCGCTGCGTTCTCCCGGACCAGCTGGACTGGATCAGCTGACGACGACGGGATTGAACCCATTGAACCTCAACCCCACAACAGCCAATTTGCGCTCCGTGTTAGTGCAGGTTTCTACCTCCAAGCACCGCACCACACACGACGAACGTTTCAGCTCTTTTTCGCATAGCCATGTTGCACCAGACAGAATGATGTCGCCGAAGTCAACGCAGCGCTGTCGTGAACCTTGGCTTGGGTTGCGCACTCGTGGACCCGTGACTCCCTTCGCTTTCAAAGCACACACGACGATTACGAATGATACTTTCCGTCTTCCGGGAACATCACAGGGGCACTTCTGTGGTCACGTCTTCGCGACATGTGCTCGCAAACTGACGAGCTGCTCGCGTACCGTCAAACCAAAACCATACCGGCGCCATGTTAAAGTGCGTTGTTGCCAGAGTTTCTCCGACCAAACAAAAACAACGAAAGCAAACCGGCTCTAGCTTCCAGCGTAGATCGGCGTTGCGCCGTGGCCAGAGTTTCTCTGTCAGCTCTAACTTAAAGATGACCTACAGATGCGGCAACACTGGTGTAAAGTTTTAATATGGCGGCCACCACGGAGCGCCTTAAATTCTCAGGAAGGTGCATGGGAAGCGGCGACACCTTCGCTTGCAGCTGAAGAGTTGAAGCCAAAACGAAACCAACTGCAGTATCACGTGTTCAGATCAAGGGCACGCTTTTTATATCCATTTTAACTGTTTAGAACGAGTAACTAGACCAATAACTTTATTTGTGGTCTGTAAGAAACCATTATCAAGGCCCCTAAAATAAATACAAACATGGGCGACAACAGGAAAGCAGCATTGCCATCGACCAGAAAAATGGCAGTGAGCACTGTATATGCGCTGTAAGCGCGGGGTTCGCCCCGTCCCGCGACATGCCGTAATTGATTATGGTGCCTATCTGTATCCGAGATATGTTTTGTTCCGCGGCATTTGTCTCTACGGTCCTTTCTAGATGTGTCCCCAAGCTTTCCGATGCTTCGAAAGCCGGCAATGCTGAGGTCGCCACCGGGGGTGATGCGTGTTTTCGAGGTCGGCTACACGGCTATGCGTGTATGACCGAACCAAAACACGTTTTTTACAACCTCGCATGATTTTTGAACGAATTATCCATTACTGAACGTGTAAGTTTATGGTAATTTGTGTAAATAGCATGTTTTGCACCCAAAATATTCACTAAATACACGGAACTTGCTAACGGTGTACTGTTGGCTATAGTACCACCGAGATGCATGTTGTTGGTGGACATAAATAAATTAACAAAATATGGAGAAATGTTTGAAGACTTTCAGGGGCGATCTTGTGTTTTGATGCCAGTGGGTTTTTCGTCAGGAGCTGCGAACGCTGCGCAAGGGCAGAAGTTTTTTTTTCGAACAGGAGAGCCTTTTAACATCCAGCATTGCGTGATGGGCGTCCCCGCTTTGACATGACGTTAAAAAAGCAAAATCTCGACTTCGGAACGGAGGCGAGATTTAACTTTGCACAGATAATGCCGCCGTTATTGAAAGAAGCGCGGTCCTCTGCTCTGCTTTCTTCTAAACGAGCTGCCTTTACATCGTCCGCGGTGACGGCCCCTTTCGGTGGTCAGCTACGTTTCTAAGTCGTGCCGTGCGGTTGCCCACATCGTTTAGGCAATTGTTTTGAGGTTTTCTGAGACTGAGGAATTACGGCTTGCACGTACGTCACATTTCGACCCTAATCGCTCGCTATCCGCCTCCGTATTTTTTTTTTTTTATTATTCGCTTTTGGGTTTTTGCAGCTCTCAAGCGCAAACGCACGCACAGATACGCACTAACACTCGCATGAAGTCGTAGTTCAGTTTCTCCGTCGGTAAGGAAGAGTGCTCTTTTCGTAATGCTACGTTGGAAGCTACCTCTTTTCTTCTCCTTTGGGGATTGCGATTGCTGAACGGTGGATTCCAGCTATTGCCGGCACGATGTCTTCCCCAGAAGAGGTGGCTATAGCAGAGGTGTGATTATAGCAAGAGATAGTTCCGCATCATTAGTAGTAGTGAGTCCTCCCCAACGTACACTGTGCAAGGTCACGTGAGCAGCATTTTTGTTTCTTACAAATTAAGGCACGTTTAGAGTCACGCGTGCGTTTTACGGAGAACTGAATTTAGGGGATGTTTGCAGAACGACAAGTGTAGAGATAATCGAGTTCAATTGATATTGGTCCAACAATTTATAGGTGCAGTTTGACCAGTTATAGTACAGCTGGCGACTGGGAGCTTATACCTTGCATTGCTCGATAAACCGTTACAGAACCGTACGTCTTTACACGACGCGCATTGAAACGACAAAATGAGGAGACGCCGAGATTGATCGCAAATCGCTGATTATAGCACGTCGGCACTTAAGCTGAAACAAGGGCACAGTGGGCCTCTGTAGCATGAAAGAAAATATAGCGCGCAGTGACCAAAACAAAAATTGTTAAACATAGTGTAGAAACCGCTGTGCGAGACAGTTCCTCTCATAAAGATATGGTTATAGCCGAGTGTGCATTACATGCGATGGGTGTGATTATAAGTAAAAAAAAGGGCAGTCACTTTCGGGAAGGCTGCTTGCGACGCCAATTTTCTTCAGTGCCTGTACGCGGAAAAACGTCGATGTGGTCTTTCTTCCGGGCATTAGCTTGGCCTCTGATTTGTGTTTGTTTATGTTTTTCCATCGTCGAACCTATCCCCGAACCGCCTCGCATTTCCTCAGCGAGCAAACCAAACAACATCAGCCACAAAAGAAACAGAAAGAGCATCAACAACACCACGGATATCAAAAGTCGAGCAATGCGGCCAACGGATCTCTGAACCCGGAAAAAGAATGCCGAGCAAAGCTCGTTTCGCTGGTTCGGCCGGAACCTCGCTGCGATTGAATTGAACTCGGATTGATTGAA